GGCTGCCTGCTAGGTTAAACCACGACACCCACGGCCACCAACGGTGGACACTGACACAGTTCCAGTCTAAGCAATGGCAGAGTTAATTATTTTGTCCAACAGCCATTAGCAAGTGCTAATGAATACACAGAACTGATTTTTCCATATATAAAGCAAAACTGCTGTATAGTTTCAAAGACTCACCTCAAAGCTCATTTATATTTTCCAGAAATATCAATGAAATTTTTGGCCAGGCGTGGGTGGCAGGAAGAACAGAAGTACCAAATATGATCCGCTTGGAAGTAACAGTGCAGGCAACCATCAACACCAGGGTTTTCTCAGTGACATTTAAGAATGTAGGATAACCCATCTATTTCACAGGCTTTTTTATTTTTTTAAATATCTGAAAGATGTAACTAATAGAAGAACACCATTCCTGATCTACCACTGACCCTGGACCATACCCTTTTTCATTCATATGCTCTTCTGTGTAGAGATAGTGTACTTGACTTCCACAATTCTTTCAAATCCAAATTCCTTTATAGACTTTTAAAACTAATTTGCCTTTAAGTCCTTGAAACTGGATTCAGCTCTATCTTAACGAACACACACTAGTGCTAAGATTTTAGTTAATTCTCTTTTATCCCATGGATAAAGCGAGCATTAGACTTGAAATTACATGCAGTCAGCATGTAAGACTACTATGGAAAGCAATCGGCACTTACAAAATGCAATTTCTTACTCCCATTGAGTGCTAAGAATCCTTCAGATTTCTTCCCATCTACAGGAAAATCTATTAATTATACCTGCAGCTGGACCTATGCAAATGTGGTATCAACCCTGTCAAAGCAGGAACGAGTACCAGGAGGGGAAAGGGACAGAAGGGAACCCCATGCCTTCCAGCTGAGGCTGGAAAAACCTCCCTGCATTTTGAAGGCATTTTGATTACCCTGTGCCGCCCGGAGGCAAGGCAGATGACGGAGTTGGGAAGGAGAGGACCAGCAGCAGTAAGAGCAGTAGCTACAGCCAGCCAGGGAAGTCCACCATTGCTTGGGCTTGGCGTACTGCCTCGCCTGCCTCCCCACTTCCAGAGCGATCCCTACGCACAGACAGGGAGGCCCTAAGAGGAGAGGCATTGCCCTCACACCCACTCACCCTGCTTGATGATACACTCGACTACCGGTCTTGTGTCCGTCCGGTCTGACTATACTGCACGCTTTTTGGGAAGCCACCACAAAAAAGATGGCAGATCCTCTGGCACCACCATGAAAACAAGAGTTTCTGGTACATGGGTCTGTCACCCCAAAGGAAATCTGCTGTTGGGGAAAAAAAGCTTCCTCCTTATTTAACATGAGGGGTTTTTTGCCTTTACATACCAAAACTAGGCACTAGGCTTCTGTATGCAAGTATTCAGAAGAACAGCCACTGCCGTAAGACAGCTCCACGTGCACCTAAACACTGTCAGAGCTCTGCCTCTCTGCCACAGTGGAACGACCTGGTCGTATCAAACGCTGATCAATGCAGTCCACTTTCTCTTTGTAAAAGACCTGTAAGCATCGGTGTCTGCCGGGACCAGTTCTCACAAGACCATTATTTGAGTTACATTGGCAATCTGCAGTCGGCCAAATGAAAGCACTTGGCATTGCTCTGCTCCCCACCTGGAGAGCTACGCAGCCGCCCTGGTACAACGTGTTCCTATATTCTAATACAAAAGTTCACAAATATTTGCACATGGCTTTCCACAAGCATTCTGTGGTAAAATGCAATTACTTGAAAGTTTTCAGAAAGCAAACACAAAAGTATTGGGAACCGACTTAACAGATCCATTAAAAAAATTAAACAAACATTTAATGTATTTTGTTCCTTCCATGGCAACCTCCTGTTAATTTTATTACCACACTTCCTACTTAGCACTTGGCTACGCAGCAGCTCCCCGTGTGCTGCTCTCTGCCTCCACAGGAAGGAGGTGCATAGGCACAAGTCATCATTACTGCAGTGCCAATCACTAGCGTTAAATATTTAGATTGCATTGTGAAATCTATAGGAGAAGCCAGTAGCCACAGAGTTACACAGTTTTACAAAAGTAACTGTGAAACTGTACCAAAACAGTGACTTGCCTTTTATATTTTACAGATATTATGACTCAGGGCAGGCAACCCCTCCTGAGACTATTCAGCACACTAAAGCAAAAACCCCAGAAAGCCACCCAAAAAAAAAAAAAAAAAAAAAATCTACAGAAGACATAATTACTAGTTGTTTCAACTTCTTAACCACAACTTATCCAAACTAACCAAATTATAGTTTAACACAACCCTTACAGTAAATGGTGGGTCGTCCCCCCTCCCAATTAAAAGTTTTCACATGCAAAGGGATGTAAGAGGGAGACCCTTTTCAACAGCCAGAAAAACAGCTGCAGTTTTCTCTTATATTTGAATACATAAGCATAAACTCCCAAAGCCATTGTTTCTTCTTCCCCCACCATGGTTTGTTTTTTTGTTGTTTTTTGTTGTTGTTGCTGTTGTTTTTCCCCCTTCCCCCAAGTGCATTTCAGTTACCCAGCTAAATTGCTGCATTTTAGGCAAATAAATAGTCCTTTTTTCTAATGCTGGACACAACCTATGAAAATTTTCTGCATTTAGATTCAACAATGCTGCTCTTATCTACAGCTCATCTCGAGAGAGACAATTACCATTTCCTTTGCCTTGATCTTGTTTGTTTAACTTGACACAGTGAAGAAAGGGCTGACATTGACCAAAATCCCCAGCATTAATTTATCTCATGTTCGGCATTCATCATTGCCACCATGCAGGAAAGACATGGCAGTCATTTGAAATACCACACCAAGAAAGACTCTACAAAAACAAAGCTGGCTGGCAAACTGCATATGCAAGAGGAGCTGGGCAAACAAACGTTTCAGTAGCACCCTTAATTTCATTTTAAAGCCCTGCAAAAAGCAGATGTATGGGTTGTCAATGTAATGTCTTTCATACAAACTGAGATAATGTTAGCCAATGCAGGAGTTAAAATGGGATTATATGGACTGGATGTGCTTTAACCACAAGCTCATTCTTCAAAATATTCAAAATGGTTTAGAAACTACTAATGACTTAACAGACCCAGATGAACGTCAGTGTGCACAACCGTGCCATATACCTTCCAATGGAAAATTGTATAATTTTGAATATATTTAAACAGCATTTCTGTATTAAAAAAGCCAAATTCAGGTCTGTACTGTGGTATACTTTGTAAATTGGACCTGTTTTTTGGGTCTCATTGTTTCTGCACATGAAAAAAAGTCCTTGAATTTCAAAGTTGCTTGAGGATGGCTTTGTGCGCCACTGATCTTGTGATCTGGCAAATAGCATCGACACTACAGCGTTTACCCAAGTAACACTCACCTAGTCTCCAACCCAGCCCTTCAGCAAAGAGTGGAAAAAAATTAAATACCTATGCTTTTGTTCATTAAAGTTACAGCTTCTCTTGTAACAAAGAAACACCTACCTGCAAAAACTCATTGAGCTCAACCTGTCCATTTTTGTTCAGATCCACTTCATTTAGAATATCATGAAGTGTATTTTCAGCAATTTGCACACTGATGCTCTAGACAAAAAAAGCACAGAAGTATGTCAACTGGATCGTTCAGCACTATTTATGGCACACTCTGAAATTTAGATAAGAGGCTTAAAAAGGAAACTAAAAGAACACATGGAAACATTACCTCCAAGACACGCTGCACGTCCAGTATAGTAATAAACCCTTTCTTGTCCTTGTCAAACATGTGGAATCGCTTCTTGTACCTGCAAGATAAGGATTATCAGTGGGAAAAACTGCACTCAGAAGAATGGCAGGTATTAATTCCTAGCAGCATAGGGAACTTTTTTACTTTACTTACCTTTCAATATCTGAAGGCACTAGACTGATTTCAGAGCTGTCTGCTAATTGATCTGATTTTACTTTGTAGCCCATTTCATAATAGAGAAATTTTTTAGCAGCTTCAAGTTCTTCCTACAACAAAAAAAGGAAAACTGTATATCTGAGGAATAGCAAGTTCTTACACAATTATTTTAATGTAATATTTATTAGCTTCTTCCAGTTAACTACAATTTATCTAAGGTCCAAAAATTAAGCAGATGGTAGCTGAAAAGTATTTAAAAGGTAAGTTAAGTTAAGCTTAGACACTTTTTAGTCTTGAAGAGATATCGAGTCTAGTAAAGACTTCCAATTACTGTGTAAACGCTTTTAGGACCACACCATGCCTTCAGTCGCGCATGGTATATCTACCTATTTCATGAAGAATGGCACTTGCAGGTCAGGCCTGCAAAATGCCATTTAACTCACAGCTGATACCTCACTGCAATGTTTCACCTATCTATCTAAAATCAGCAAAATAAAATCAGGAGGCTCAACACCAGGCAAGTTCTTTATGTTTTAAACTAGTTTTCTTGATGGTAGTAAAGTTAGGTAAAGCTTAGATAGAAGCTTTACTAGCTTCTCTAGCTAAGCTAGTAAAGTGACAAACACCGCAAGTAAAGTGAGATGAGTCCAACACTGTGGGTCTGAGCACAGACCCAGTGGGGGCAAAGGAAACTAACAATGACCTTAAAAATTAATTTACGCCAGAGAATGGTGCAAACTCAGTATCATCACTTTTCAAAAGACACAGCAGACAAAAAGGAGTGACACAGTTTACAAGATCCTCTTTTTCTGAGGCAGCTCTGTGGAAAAGTGTCAGTAAACAAGCTATTTGAACAGGAATAGGATAGCAATGCCAAGTCTGCTTTCATTTTTAAAGTTGGGGAACAACAGGATACAGATCTTCACTTTCCCCTCCACCCCCTGGCCAATACCAACTTATTTCACAGCTATTTTGATAAAGTCTTTATAATTAAATATGCCAAGTGAATCATTCTCTCAGGAAGAAAGCATCACTTGAAGTTTTCTATTCAACTAATTTAGATTGTTAACATGGAAACTACTTAAGCAAAACAAAACAGTTTCAGATGAAAAAGTCTCTTTGTACCTTTTTTTTCTGCTCACTCCAGTTAAGTTCCTTCCCCATTATATCTACGATTCTTGGCAGGGCTTCCTCTGCAGCCTGCACATTAAGGAAGGCCAAGCGAGTACGTCGGGAAATCATATCCACTGCCGTGCGGGCATACTCTTTAACACCATAGACAACCTAGAACAATAAGACAAGGGGAAAAAATGCAGATGAGAAAGTTGACAGGCATTGTCAGAAATTATGTTTAGTGTCATGAACCACAGTGCTGGTCTGGCTATACAAAATGAACTTTCTGTAACTAGTTCCTACCCAACCAAGAGAAAGGTTTGAGGTTCCCTCTTCCTTGGAACATTGCCTATTTTTTATTTCATATATGCACTATATAATTATAAATACTTCATTTTTAATATATATACACATATTAATATATTT